AAAATAAAGATGTGGTTTTTTGGTTCTACTACACCAATGGTCAAGAGATGGCGCTGTAGTCTCCTGAATCGCGCTTTGGTTCCGTTGTTCCAGATTAATAAATACTTTTGATAGGGGCCTTCACAATGCAGTCGTTAGCACCCACTAAATAGAGATTCTATTTCTATTTTGTTGGTAGATTTTCTTAATGTGCGGTAAACACAAAAGTAACGCATGAAGTTGGTCGCTAAAGCGACCAACTTCATGCTGTTAAAATTTTGTATTACAGTGATGCGCGCGCATCTTAAAATTTCACTCTCATCATTTTTTCATAACGCGCCTAAAGAAGTATAACTTCAAAAATAAATGAGAAGCGGTGCATACAAAACACAAATTATATTTACTTTTAACACAATACAATTTGAAAAAAAACTAGTGTTCCTTTAACACAGGTAGGGTATATCTGCAAAGTACATACTTCTATAAACTAAGTATATTAATATTACACTATTTACCACATATTTATCACAAACACAGTTCGATGACACCGCTCTGGCAAGGGTCAAATATCAATCACACAAACAAAGGCATTAAATTAATAGCAGAGTATCAAGTTGCATTGTGAGTAGGAACTATATATGTTGCAACATTAACATTACACTACATTTTTGAGCGGTCGCGCAAAAAAAAATCTAAAACAGTCACACCTAGTGATGCCAGGTCCGATTTTTTTAAAATCGGGAGGCGTTATAGAAAAATGCAGTAGATGTATGGAAAGAACAACGATATTAAATACAATATCTTAGGGAAAGAACTGCAAGAAAAAACATTGGTAAATCGAATCAAGATATAGGCGAGTAACGAATGTGTTTCTGTGGCTTCTGCCGCGCCTCCAAGCTCGTTTTTTATAACATTTAATTTATAATAATTAAGGTTACCTACATTATTAATGGCGGAAAATGCAACTCAAATCATATTTCTCTCCGAGTTCATAACGGAAGTCATTATAAGTGTTTTGCAAAAAAATAACTTAGTCATGTAATCATTCGACAGCAAGTATAGTGTTTTCGTCGTTCTAAGAAAATGGTGCCCACTGGTTCAATGTACTTATATGTCGCTGCGGAAGTCAAGGCCTTGCCCCATTTGTACGTCAGCTTCACATCACACGAGCAGAGGCTATTACAACCTCATTAGCTAAAAATTTAATTTGTCATATGGTAACGTAAACTCTATATTTAATAAAATCATGTTCACAGCACGGCGACAAATTATCGTCAAACATAAAACTCGTTTAAGTAAGGCAAGGTCGGCAGGTGTCAGGTTTTTTTAAGACCATTTATGTATACCTATATGGCCAGAATATTACGTGTCCTGACCTGACTATAACTTACCAATTAAACTGTAACTAAATGCTATTAAATATTTGCAAAGTATAAAGTTATGAGGCTAAGACAAAGGCAGCCTACCATTTCCATTATCTCGTTATCTTAAAATTCAATATCTTTGGTTTAGTTTAATCTGTCGAATACTACGCAATCAGAAGAACCGGCAAGAGTTATAGTTATTAGTGGCATTGCTACCATGGTTACCTTGTTTATTCGGACTTCCAACACAACACAACAAACAACAATAAACCAGCAACACTCGACAAGAACAGTTTCTCTGTATTATTGTCACGTGATTATTGTTTACTAATTTATGAGCCAACAATTCGGCTTTTGGCGCTAAGTCAGGGCTTTTGTTAAATAATAATTGAATGACTTAGGAAATGGTCAAGAATTTTCTAATTTCAACTCCTATGTCTCTCAACTTTCAATTGGTAGATCCAATACTACTTATACACACAACTGAAGTAAAGAACTCAATACAAAATAGTCACACTAAAGAGTATATATTTTCATATAGGATTATTTATTAGGATTATTATGTTTATATAGGATAGATTTTTATATTGGAGTAAAATTCGACATGGTACAGGTAACCCCATACAAACTGATTTTTATCTTTTAGAGCGTGATAAGTGATAACATTGATACTATTATCAGATTACAAAGGAACCAAAATAACGATTTTGTGAATTTCCCTTGTCGATTATTAAACATAATTCTTTCCATACAACATATAATCACTATTCTGATGTTACAAGAAGCGGCAATTTGAGTACAAATATTAACACAATTACATATAATTTAAAAAAATATTTTATCCTCCTCGAATAATCATTTAAATTAAATTTGTGTTGGATTAAAAAGTTTACATTTACTTCTTTAATTCCAACTACCACCTCTTCTTCCAACTTCTTTAGTTCCAACTACAGCCGAAACCCGCTTCACTTCGAAAATTAAATTGTTCAGATAACAGTATAAGAATATAATTCCAATTAACAAATAATGTATGGCTGAGATTTAAAAAAATACATTCATTGAAACTTTGTAGACAACGAAAATTAGGAACACAACAAAAAGCCACATCGTTCGAGTAGTTCATATATTTTTTCTATCATACAAAATTTTTACAATACATAATTCCACCGTAATGTCCTAATTTTCTCGTATTTTCTGGTAGTATTTCCAAAACATTTATTTTGTTATGCAATACTAGCCCTTCCAATTACGATCACAACGAAAATCGATCAGCCAAAGCGGTGGAACTGATGTCAAGTATTTCTCCGTCATAATAAAACGTCTAAAGCTTTCCTATCACATTTTCAATCAAACCCAAATATAGACGAACTCGAATGGAGTGCCAAATACACAAAACAAATACAAAATACCTCAATCCATCATAGGTGTACGTAAATATGGAGAAAATTCTCCATGACTGATCCTCCGGTGGAGTTGGGGACGCAAGCATGATATATCACTGCGTCGGTGTAATTAATACTAAACTGAACCACTCATTTTTATCACAGCGCCAATATTTTTATTTTGTTATATTTATCACACACATATTGTTTTTACGAAATGCGTAGTCTCGTCGTTATTGGTACATAAACACGACTGGTTGATTAACGTTAGTGAAGTGACTAACTTTAATCAACGTGTAATAAAGTACCTAAATCGCTGATGAGATAATACGCGACAAAGTTTCACTGTCATTATTAGTTTGTTAGTTTTATTTTATTTGATGATCAATTTTGTTCTTTGGAATTAACTCCATATTATGTATTTTCATCTCGGACAAAAATATGTTTAGTATTAAGTCTAGTAAAACCCTTAATCTTTATCAACCAATCTAATCAATATTCATCTATTCAGTCTAGGTTGTTACAAGCCCTTGTGAAGGTCGAGATGCTACGCCATCGGTTCTCAAGTCTACGGTGGGAGACCCTATTCTGAGAAGAACCGGCAAGAAACTCTGGGATGAATTCGCGCACGCTTTTTTACACGCTTAAGAACAAGTTCAAACTCAAATGAGTTCGATCTTACTTATTCAATGGCCAAGATTGAGAATTTGTTATGAATCAAAGCGAAATAAAAAGTATTTAAAGGAATCAAAGAAATCGTGTTATGATAACAAGATCAATTCTGAAGTAGTCGAACAACGCGCTTTGTTATTGGCGTTCCAGTTAAATATTTCCAACGAATATAAAAAACTAAACTCTTGCCAATCCACTTACTAGTAGTAATCTAAGATAATATTAAGAAAAACTACTTTATAATTATAAAAATTAGATTATTGAATTGAATATGATTTTCATTAACTGATATTTTATTATTAAATATAAATTAGTGGGGCCTGTAGCCAACAATTACTTGATAAGTATTTACAGTATGAAAACTTTTTAACAAAAAAATTAAACCGCCGAAAATACTGAATAGCAAAAAATAATAAAAACTTTTTCATCTTTAGTCAAAATAATATTTGGAGTGGATGCCATGCCAACCCAAGTTCTAAATGGGAAACTCCTATCTATCAAACATGCATGGCACCGACAAACCAAACATTAATTTGACTAAAGATAAAAAAGGTTTATTATTTTTTGCTGTTCTGTATTTTCGGCGGCTTAATTTAATTATTGAGATACCTAATGGCGAAATACGTGTACCTTTATCGCTACTCACGAACGTCATAATATGCGATAAAGCATCAATACAGGATGCAGTCGCGCAGCTATCGAATGCGCGTTTGTTTGTGTGCAAAATGTAGCAGTGTATAAAGAGCCTTTGATAGGAGCCTAACAAAAGCATGTTTTAATACGATAAGGAAACTCCTATATAACTTATATGAAAAGTTAATATTGAAGTTGAATATTATTAAATGGAATTTGGTATCGAAAATAACATTATTGATCCTACTGAGTCAAACCAACCATATTATGATAATGTTTTTTTTTTAAATGGTTGCATAATTCTGAAGTTTCGGTTCCTATTGAATGATTCTGGGTAGTGTACGCTGAAATATAAGATTCAAGTAAATAAGCACCGTTTGTAATAACATAAACCTATTTGTCATTTCCTTTCTGTAATACGGGCCTAAGTGTTGATCTTTACTTGAGTACAGTAATAGTAACTATGCTCAAGACTAGATCAATCACTGAGAATCTTAGAGCCTACGTCTTATGACCTTTGTAGTCATACAGAAGCCCAATAAAATAACCTGCTATGTTGTTATATCAATGTGTTCCGTGGTTAATAAGATTGGTACAGCTCGACGGACCTGTCACTTTCTTTTATATACGAGGCGCAGCAAATTACCCTACCGTACCTGATGTTAAGTGTAGGTTGAGTCATGTCGCGAAGATAGATAATGCGGCAGAAAGTGTGACACTCCAGCCATCCTCACGTTGCCGTCCCAACCCAATCCCCTATCCGCGGAGCCATGGCACCCTACTCACCAGCAAAAAGACAACACCTCCAAAAGGAAGTGTTATTTTACTGTCTTCTGTAAGATGGAGGTTGTTTCCTCAGAAGGCATGAATAAGACGTGAATATAATGCTTGGTTAAGTCACGTGTTATTCATCCTAGGTACTTGATATCTCTGCGTGCGTTTGACTATTTAAAACCATTTGAATACTCACTTCTCGTGTTTGGTGCGGGGTTGGGGCTCGAGTTGGAAAGGGGTGGCGGGAGCAGAGCGCGGGGCTCCGCACCCGCCACCCGCCGCGCCCGACGCGAAGTTCCCGGTTGACCTGGAACAAACAAAATTCATCATCATCATCATCAGAGAGATTGGGCCATGGCCCACTACGCGGGTCCAGTGTGGATTGGAGGCTGCTAACGACTGCAGATGCAGTTGGTCCCGACCAACGACTTAACGTTCCTTCCCAAGTACGGAGGAGCTCTCGAGATAGTAAATTTTTGGTCACTAATCCAATGACCGACCACTGCAAAAGTTGATTAACTTCAATGGTCGCAGCCGAACACACTAACGACTTGCGCCATCGAGCTCCTCAATAACATTCAATGAACATCATCAGTCTCAAAACTAATCATGAATAGCCTCTTGCTTCTCCCACGCCTGCGTCAATTGCCACGAAGCTTGGACTATGATCGCGATAAACGCAGGTGGGATGGGAACTCATTAGCGGCTATCGTGACAAGACGATAACTTGACCGGCGGTTTTTGACACACATCAAGGGGGTTTTGGTGACGATAAATTTGTGCGTTCCAGACGAAGGAGCGCCCAAGATTTCGACGTTAATTTAGCGCAATAGGTGGCATTTTAATCGACTTCTTTATAAAATTGGCATTTACGACAGTCCTGTGTGAGGCGCCTGGAGGAGGAGAACACAAGTGACAATGTTATATTGCAGAAGCGTTGCCAAAGAAAGGCCTACACATCTAAGAGGTCCGCAGACCTTACTAGGGACTTTCAAAACCTCCAGAGCTTCTTGGGGGTGTTATGATGGCATGACTAAGACCATCCTAGACACTAAGTGTCGAGTTGTGAAAATCTCCCACCGTTTTATAAAGGAAAAATCACCAGCCTATTAATGTCCCACTACTAAAGCACCAGTCTTCCCTATGAATGGAATAGGGAGATTGACAAAGACCCACTACGCGGGCGGGTAGGTGATAACAACTACAGGTGCAGCCGGGACCAAAGGCTGTACGTACTTGCGGAAGCACGGAGGATCTCGAGATAATTGAATAATTGATCACCGATGCGATGTTGTTACAGCGACAGTTGCTTATCATCCACGATCGAGACCGTACCCGCTAACCATTTAAACCATCGAGCTCTAAATCTAATACATTCAATGTTATCTACTATTAGGGACCCTCTGGTGGGCGATAAATGTGCTAGCCAGCTGTACAACCGTACCATTGACTCTTACTTTACTGAACTCGATTCCGTTTCATAAAGTGAAATCTATACGAAGTCAGTGCCCATTCGGGGGCCATCCCACGGTCCATCAGTTGCAAACTATCAGTGACCTTTGGGCGCACGACAAGAGACTATTGACTCCTAATTCGACTCAATTTCGTTTTATAAAATATGATATCAATATAAGAAGGTAGAGGTGATCTCTTTTATTTAGTAGTTACGTAGAGTTATGATAGTCAGATTCACCACCGACACTCGCTAAGTTTTCAAGAGGATTCCAGCTTTAGGATTCAAGTTTGTGACAATATTAATTTTGTTCACAGTAACACAGCAGATTGAAATGCACTAAAGTATTTTTGAATTTATATGACACAAGCTTTCGCTACGCATTCAGCACGCAATAAAACGGCCTAACTACTTTTGGAATCGCCTGCTTTTGAATTGCGATGAGATATCATGTTACGGCCCTGATCAATTGGTAATTTAGGCGGTTGCGTATGAAAAAGGTCACACGTGGAAATATTATTTGTTCCTTCCCATACAGAGAGGATAGAATTGCTTACACGCGTATGAGTACCTGTCCTTATTTAATGTACATGGTGGTACCTACACCATGATTAGATGATACAGGAAATTATATTATTCAAGTATTTGAGTAGCCATTTATTGCCTCTATACAAATACGAAAACGAAATTCATGAATACTTAAAAAAATACAATATTTGGTCAACGGCAGCTCGTGTGACGCCCCTCTGATGTAAGCCTTTTAAAAAGATATTATATGAGTGACCGGATTTTAGTCGTACTTATAAAAAAAAACAATGAAGTACCTACAAATTTACAATCCTGAAATTCTGTTTACGATTCGATGAAATCGTCTTCCTTATGACACATTTGATTGAAATTTTTGATTAGTATAAGTTTAATTCTATGAATATCAATATTGAATTATGCTTTATTATTATAACATAAGAGATAATATAAAACCATAATTGCAATTATTTCAGTAAAACAAATCAGCAAGTACAGTAGATAGGTACGAAAATATTAATCTATCGATGATAAAAAATCATTTTAATTAAATCAATCGACAATAGAAATTTCTAAACATAATAATTCCATGGGAACTTTATGATATTTATCACAATATTGAAAATCATTGCTGTGAGTTTTAGTACCTAAGTATATAACTTAGGTACTTACCAGAATAATAATTGAGTATGTGATTTACTTACACGTGGCTTGAATGAATTACATGCTTTATTGTTTCTAATGTCGTAAACAACTTTACAGTCTTCCGTATAAAAGTTCCGCACGAGCGATAATCTTGTTGTTGCCATCGGCTGTAGGCCATTTTACAACCGCTTATTTATTTGAAGTCAAAATTTTGTGTTAAGTTTAAATATTTTTGAAAGGCAAATATAATTTCACTGAATTAGTCAACCTATCACAACACCATAATATAATATCTAAGCAATTACCCATGCATAGCACAGGTTACAATTACAATCGTAATTAACGACACTGCTTAGGTTGTGCTACTCAATATAATTGAAACTTAATAATAATTAATTGCCCACACCACATTTCTTGTAATACTACGCTTTGATTATTGACTTCACTCAATAGAACTTTTTGCTTTTCACTCAGTAAACATTGGAAAATTGTTTCTTAGGAATTCACTCCGCATATATACTTATAACTTCACATGTTGTATTAAGACTGTCGTGTGTTTGAAAATTATGAATAACATTTATTTATTATTCAGGAAAATTTTAAAACATCGGTTTTTCGCATCCAAACGATGATTTACAATACCTATTACATCAAACGTCGTAGAAACAGAACAAGCAGCAAACTTGAAGGCTCGGTTGGGTTGATTTTATTTAAGAAAAACCAATATTAATGAATATTTATAAGATATGAAGATCATGCGTTTTTACCGTGACTGGGCTACCTTTTGCATTTAAAACTTCTTCTCCTCACTACACTAGGTGTATGATTCGAAAGCCCATTTATATTTCTGGCTCTTTCTGACCTCCCTTTTTTATTTCGAACCATATCTTAACATTTTAATTAACACGGGTCAATATCACAGAAATATTGTCACATAACGGGTACATCTATCACCAAAAGTAAAATCACTTGGTTCTTCACACAATTCCGCAGCGTGAAATTCTCAATTGAATTTACGTGAATTCTTAATTATAAATATTTTGTACCTCGCGAAATATGTATATCGATAAAAACGACTAACACAAGCGAACCAAGCGACGGTTAGTTTAACAGAACTGTGGGATTGTTCAGCACAGGTGAACAAATAACATGCTATGTTACATTAAGGTCAGTTAAAATAGCAAAGAATAATCGTGTGACGTGTGTCAGTAGTTAATGTACACATTGAAAAGCACTATTTATCGCCTCGGGTGTCAAGTCGATAAAATGCGGACAGATAATTTATTAATGGTATTCCAATTTTTATGTAAATAAGGGTAAACAAACACAATGGAATGTCCCGTTATGTCCGGCTTTTTCGACTTGCTGCAGGTCTTTCTTTTTATATGATGCGTGTATGTATGCACTTAGCTTACTGTGCAAAGATAAAAATAGAAGATAACTTCCGTTTCTAGTTGTCGGGACATCTATAAAATGGTATAATTTAAGTCCAACTATTGTGTATTTTGTAAGGTTACAACCCTTGGACCGCCTGATAGTAAACAAGCAGCCACTGTAGCTTAATTAAAGAAGTACCTATGCGATACCAGAGTATCTCTCCCGAATTGCCTACCCCGAACTTTTTTTACTCATTATGTAGAACTACACTGAAAAGACCAAGTACTGGCCGAAGGAAGGTGGGAAGGCAACCTATGTGCTGGACTGATGACATCACCAAAATAGTGGGAAGGACCTGGGCCCTATTTCACCAAGTCGACATATGTCACATTTTGTTACAATTGCCCGTATCTTACTTCTACGATAACTATGTGAAACATGAATATTTTTTAAGTCGACATATTTGTCAAATTGTCAGTAGGTAATTCTTGACATCAAATTGGGGCTGATAAGTAAGATTGCGCTACAATTGTAGTGTTTTCGTTATTAGTTACAAAATGGCTTTCCGCGATCTATAAGATCCATTATACAGTCTCGTATCATTTCATGAGAGGAAAGAACGCACAATCTATGTTTTGCATATTTGGACGATGTAGCATGATTATAAGTAGGTAGGTGCTCATCCACGAAGACATTCATACCGTGAGATGAACCCGTCTAGTGGCATTTACTTTATGAGATCTGACCCCGAAGGGTCTACCATTTATCGCAGAACTTTTAATGTCATAATATTATTATGAAAATCTTTTGGCATTCACTTATTTATCACACATTCAAAACTCATAATTTTTTAAGCTGGAATCATCTTTAGGCATAACTTTAATATCCATAATAATTAAAAACCAGAACCACTATATCGCAGAACTTTAATAGTCAGAATCGTCTTTAGGCATACAAATATTTAACTTTTCCTTGTTTATTTATTATTATCTATAGGTTAGGTCACACTAACCTAATCTAACCCACTGACCACAAACACCGGCTATGTTTAACGAAATTATGCAGACAAAAATTTTGCGATCTTAAAAGTATTCCATTTTGAAGATATATATATTTATAAGATGTAGATATGAACATACTGCTAAATAATAATTATATGTATAAAAAAATATACCTGTAATAATAATAAATATTTCCAACACACACCAATTAGCCTAGCCCCAAAGTAAGCAAGGCTTGTGTTATGGGATACTAGGGTAACGGATAGAGTACATATACTGATACATATATAAGTATATTTATATAAA